CCCACACCCACACCCATACCCACATCCACCCACACCCACCCACATCTACACCCACACCCACACCCACACCCACACCCATACCCACACCCATACCCACACCCACCCACACCCACCCACACCCACACCCACACCCACCCACACCCACACCCACATCCTACTATATTTTAGCGCACTCTACAAATTACAGCTCATTTAATTAGAATAGTGAAACTCAATATCTAGTGAACTCTATAAATTTCAGTAACTACAAAGAAAAGAAACACTACTGTAGTTTAGCGCTTTCTACAAATTACAGATTATTAAATTGAAATAATGAAACTCAATCTTTAGCAAACTCTGTAAATTTCAAGAAGTTTAAAAATATAACTGAAATTTTAATTTGTTTTAAAATTGTTATCAGTAAATTTCTTTGAAGTTTGAAAATCGAAAATTTAAGATATAACATTATTTTAAATTTGAATAAACTAAATTTAAAAGACAGCTGAAATTGAATTTAGCAGATTTTTAATTTCGATTTTATGTTCGCAAATGAGAGAACACGTCACGCTCACGCATGATTTTTCGTTCCTAATACTATGACACAGTCTACGTTTTTGCTTCCTTTTCTTTCTCTCTTCCTACTTAATAAACAAACACACTATATTTGCCTCAGTGCACTGCACTTGCAACTTGGAAAAAACCAAGTTGTATATGCCGTCATATAAAAATGCACATGTAAAATCATTCTTTTTACACTAACGCAAACCATACAATATCATCGACATAGCTGATAAAAGAGTCCGTAAGAAAATGACAGAATATTCCACTTCACTGGTCTGCCTTGATCTAATGTACACGGTTGGAAAAAATATTATTCCAGGGGGGTAACGCTATAATTTCAAATAGAAAACATAATGAATTTTATATCAAATGAAAGCTCGTCAAAAATGGGGTTTATTGATACTAAATAGTGAGGCTTGTAAAAACTTTCTAATGTCAAACTTAAGAAGTTTTCAGAAATTTTATATTTTTTTGGGGTGGAAAATCAAGGTGCCACTGATTCAAAAAAGAAGTCAATTTCTTTTCTTGAATATTTTTACATGGTTTGATAGACCTTGTTGAGCTCTACAAAACTGTGCATGTTAAAAATTTTTTGAGGCATCTTTTTGAGATAAAAAGTTCAAAAAACTACTCGGGAAACCTCAAAAACATTTAAAAACTCTTTTTTTTCAAATTGAAGAAATACGCTCAATTTTTCAATAAAAGTAGCTGTTTTCGTTGTTTTTACTACCTCAGACGTCTCGAAATATACTCGTTCGATGCAGTGTGAAAAGCTGCGTCTAATGAGTATGTTTCGAAACGCCTGACGGAGTAAAAACAATGAAAAAAGCTACTTTTATTGAAAAAGTAAGTGTTGTTCTTCCACATGAAAAATATGAATTTTTTTCATGTTTTCTAAGATTTTCCAAATAGTTTTTTGAATTTTTTATCGCAAAAAAAGTGTCTTAAAATTTTTTTAATGTATACAGTTTTATAGAGCTCGACGAGCTCTATCGAACCGTGTAAAAATATTCAAGAAAAACGTTTTACTCCATTCTTGAATCACTAGTACTTTAATTTTCCATCCCAAAAAAAGTATAAAATTTCTGAAAATTTATTAAGCTCGACATTAAAAGGTTTTCATAACCCTCACTATTTAATACCAATAAACCCCATTTTTAACGAGCTTTCATTTGATATAAAATTTATTATGTCTTCTATTTGAAATTATAGCGTTACCCCCCCTGGAATGATATTTTTTCCAACCGTGTACAATCCTGTGCATAATAAAACTAACACAACTACTTATATATCTCTATGCAAGGTTGATCCATATCTCGTTTCATTTCGTGACTCGAACAAATGTATTGACTATATCACTAACCTCGAAGAAAACAACAATCAAGTGATTCTGATACTCGCTGTAACATATGACACAGTAGTTCATTTACTTAATTTTGTTCTAAGAATAAGCGACGAGCTTTCACAAATAAAATCAATATATATTTTAAATAATTCAACTGAAGTTGTTACTGAATCTTTTAAACTATCGACCAAAGTATATGGAGTGTATAATGACTTTGAATCACTATATAATCAACTACGTCAACTCCCAAACATACGCCATTATCGACGAGAAGGATTTGTACGGAATGATTTTACTATTACCGTATTACCACAAATGACTGATGATTCTGTTTCTTTTTTTGATACCATATATCATGGAAGTCTACCATTGCTACGATCAGCTGATGATACTAAACGACAGGAAGTTGAATTTGTAGGTTATTTATAAATTTTGTGATCAGTAACTCTAATTAAATTATAAGAATATGTATCACAAATTGAAGAAATTAGCAAGCTGGTAAAGTTGGCGAGAGCTAATCTAAAACTGTCCACTTCTTTTCCGAACATCTTTAATGTATGCTTCATTCTTACGAGATATCTTAATTGACATTCAGTCAACAGAAACGGAAATAATTGAGTTTTGCCGTCAAAAGTGTGCGGATAATGAAACCGACTTAAATGTTATCCAAGAATTTGAAGATTATTATGATGCATCTAATGCTATCTTTTGGTATACTCGTGACACGTTTCTTTTTCGTCTTTTAAACAAAGCTTTGCAAGAACAAGATGTTGATACACTCTATTCAATGAGATATTGTATTAAAGATCTTCACTTGCAATTAAAAGAACGACACGTACAACAGCAATCAATCTTAAGTGAAGACAATAAAGCTCTGGCTATACCTAAGTTCACTGTCTACAGAGGACAACTAATGATAAATGCAGAGTTCGATAGAAGAATTCGACAGAATACTGAAGGCTTCTTGTCCGTGAATAACTTTTTTTCAACAACTCCATATGAAAACGTAGCTGCTGTCTATGCTGGTGAAGCTAGCAGCGATAATGTATCCACTGATGTTCAACATGTTCTTTTTCGAATTGACATTGACAATCAAGTAAACAAGTTTCCATATGCAAATATTTCGAAAGAAAGCGTGTTTGCAGGAGCAGAAAGTGAAATCTTGTTTACAATGGGAGCCGTATTCCGTATAAAAAGTGTACGACAGAACGACCAAGGTCTCTGGCACGTTGCGTTATCGCTGACTGGTGAAGAAGATGAAGAACTGAAGACCTTAAGTGAACGTATAACAGAAGAAATTATAACGTCATTTCCCATACTTAGTTTAGGTACGTTGCTTATGCACATGGGAAAATACAGAGAAAGTGAAAACTTTTACACTAAGGCGCTTCTATATCCTGACGTACTCAACAACGACAAGCATTTGTCATTAGTCTATAATAATGTTGGCACACTTTATCATTACAATATTCAGCTCGAAAAAGCAATAGAATTCTACGAAAAAGCACTTGCAGTCGAACTGCAGAGTTCATCCTCAACAGGTTTCTCTTTAACTTGCATGTATAATAATCTTGGTGTTATCTATTACAATCATGGGAAGTATGAGAAGGCACTAGACTATTGCAACAAAGCATTAGAAATTCAGAACAAAGAGCTGGAAACTAATTCAAATGAACCAGATCCAGACTTCTTAGGAGTTGCTACTACTTATAATACCGTTGGACTGATCTACCATGTACAGAAACGCTATTCAGAAGCATTAGAAATGTTCGAGAGATGTCTCTGCATATGGCTAAAACTTCTCCCACCCAATCATCCAAAATTTTTAGGAATATACAGTAACATTGCTACAATTTATAAGGCGCAAAGCAACAATGTTAAAGCTATAGAATACTATCAAAGAGCTCTTCAGATTGAAAAAAGTTCAATTCCAGTGAGTCATCCAGACTTTGGTGAAACTGACATCTATATGTCTCAAGCGCTCCTTGATCAGGGCAAATTGGAAGAAGCACTACGTTACTACAGCAAAGCATTAGAAAAGGAAATGTGCGCATCCAATCCAGATCAAATTAAAATTGCTAAATATAATACTCATATTGGAGAGATTTACTACAGACAACAACACTATTCAAAAGCATTAGAATTCTATAAGAAAGGGCTCGAAATACAACTAACTGCGGTTCCATCAAATGATTCGTCATTGATAATAACATACAACAATATTGCACAAGTATACTATTTCCTTGGCAGTTATCAGGAAGCAATTGATTATATTAAACTAAAACTTGAAATACAAGAAAATTTACTTTCAGCAAATCATCTTGATTTTGGTGAAACCTATGACAACTTAGCTAAAGTATTATGTGAACAAGGTAACCTCGAAGAATCATTAGAGTATGTGAGAAAAGCATACGAAATTCGTTCTAAACATTTATCTGCTGATCATCAAGATGTTATAGACAGCCTCGAAGGAATTGCTCTACTATAAGAAGAACTTTGTGCGATGAAACTGCTTTGGAAAGAAAGTGTATAAAGTTGTTCAAAGATGTGCATTCAAGTAAAGTTAACTTACAATGTATTTTATTAGGTTTATTAATGTGAGTCGTCGAAAGTCGAAACCTTATAGTAGCCATTTTTTAACCTTCTTTATACGTTTTATTCTCATACCCACATGGACTAAGTCCTCTCTTTTTTCATACATGAGTGAATCCATGGAGACCCTACCATTAGACTTCTGCGTGACCACGATTTTTCAGTCACGTCACGTCACGGTCACGAGCTGCTTGGTCACGGTCACGTTCATAGTCACGAAGATTTTTCGAAACTAGTCACGATCACGTCACGGTCACGAGCTAGCTGGTCACGGGCACGTTCATAGTCACGGAAATTTTTCGAAACTAGCCACGATCACGTCACGGCCACGGAAATTTTGGATTACTAGCTGGATTTTTGTGCTACAAAATCAAGATTTAAATTGATTTCGTAGATTTTCCCTGTAATAAAACAAAGAAAACCCATAAATCAATTAGAATCTTGATTTTTTTTCACAAAAATCAGACTTTTAGTATCAAAATTTTTCACTGTTAAGTCACGGTCACGAGCCATTTGGTCACGGTCACGAGCTATTTAGTCACGGTCACGATCCCAGTCACGCCAATTTTTCGAAAACTAGTCACGATCACGGTCACGAGACGCCGTGACCGTGACCGTGACCATTTTGCAGAAGTCTACCTACCATCCTTTTGGAAAAAGTTTGTTTATCGATTTTTTATGCTGGTTAGATTGATCGTGGATAGAAAACAACTTTAGCCGAAAACGAACTGTTACCTTTTTGTAAAACAGTGGAAATGTTGATCGTTTTCTAGGAACATCTCGAGGGGTGTTATATAGGATATTACATGGTTTAACGCTCATCCTTTGTCCAATTGATAGAGCAACATAGAGCTTGCACAACCTCCAAAGGATTCTTTTGTAAACTGTAATCTGACAAAGATACACCACTTTCGAAGCTTACAACTACTATATATATGTTGTAAAAATAGCCTACTTAGGGTGTGGGTGTGTGGGTGTGGGTGTGGGTGGGTTTGTGGGTGTGGGTGTGGGTGTGGGTGTGGGTGTGGGCGTGGGTGTGTGGGTGTGGGTGTGGGTGTGGGTGTGGGTGAGGTGTGGGTTTGGGTGTGCCACATCCACACCTACGTCCGCGCCCACGCCCACGCCCACGCCCACACCCACACCCACCCACACCCTACACCTATACCCACACTCACACCCACCCACACCGCTCCCTCACCCACACCCCACCCACACCTACACCCTTATTAATTATGATTCTTAGAAATTCTCCTCCCACATCATGGAATCTTTTTATTACAAGCTAATAAAAACTTTATAATATTATGAGTTCAATGTGTATCCATCTTATAAGTTTCACAGTTTTTATTTTGTGTTTTTTGTTTTCGTGTTGGAGTTCTTGAAAAAAGCAAAACCAGATTTGTTATGAATACGTTCTTCTTTTAGTAAACATATTTTACGAACAAATGAAGGAAGAATAAAAGCAGCACAATGTACATCAGTGGTGTAATATTTAGTGTCGAGTTCATTGGCTAGTTTCATATCGGCAGGCTCATTTAGTTTGACATCCTAGAATTTAGAAATATTTTATTAATTGGAGAGAATTCTGTATTTTTGTGAATAATCAAGTATCAATATTCTTTTAATCCAAAGCTAGGAGTCAAGTACAAGAAATTTCATTGCAATAGAACCACTGATAGTATGTCTAGGTAGATTTAACAGAAGATGAGCGATTGCTTTTTAGCATACTCAAAATATTTAACCGGACTAAACCATTTTTCTTTACAAAAGCATCTATGAAGGCATCTGTCGCTTGCTTTTCTACTTCTATGATTTCATGATTGTGAAAAATTTATCGTAAGTACCACTGATCTTAGCGATCAAGTTATAATTGCGGTAAAGTGAGCTACTGCACTTGAATTGTAATGCATTTGTGTATCGCAGTGCGTTGTTATGTAGATACAGTCATATCGTAATCGAACACAAGAAATTTCACTGTTAAAGTTTGATTTGAACCATTCGTCAAACTAAATAGATTTGTTTCAAGACTTGCTTTTGAACAAGCTGATTTTCTATTGATTTTTTCCCGGACGGAACTCCGTTATCTAATGGTGCGGTTGAAACTCAAAAACTATTTTTTTAAATGATGACGAAATCCAAGAAAAAAAGATAATGAGTTATGAAGTAAAACTTGAAAAATTCTGTTTTCAACCGTTTGACAAGTTGCACCTACGACGATTATGGATGATCATGATCTTTCATGTGTGGGTGTGGATGTGTCGGTGAGATGAATAGCTAAATTCACACCTACATCCACACCCCCTAATGTGAAATCCCAGAACTTAAGATTTGCTATACTGCGAGTCTGAAGAGTCTCGGTGTGAATGTTGATGTGCGGGTCTGAGTGTAGCTGTAGATATGGGCGTGAGCTATGTCTGTTATGTTGCTGTTTAATTTTAAGCATGGATGTGGATAAGCTCGAGGTCTTTATTGCATTCACATCCTCATATGATATTTGTTAATAAATTTTGTGAAAAAAAATTTGTTGCTACTTTAATTTTTCGTCTGTCTTTACTTTTTTCTGTTCATCAAAAAAGAAATTTCAATTTTGTCTAGTCAAAATTGAAATTTTAAGTTTGACTGAGATGATATTGGACGAAATTGAAATTTGACTGAATTTTAATTTTGACTACAATATATATGTAAGAAGACGATCGTAATTTATTGGGCATTGGCGCCCTCTTATCACTAGTAAGAATTATTGATCTATACCGATATGTAATTCATTATTGAACGGACGTTTCTTTCTTTCGATTAATTCATTCAGCTTTTTGTTTTCGAAATGATATAAAAGAATAAGAAACAAATTTCATCGATCAACATAATCAAGAATATTGTTATCTTTTCGAATTTGAGACGAACATTACAATACAGGTAATCATTGTAATTTTGAAATAGGATTCTCCTATTGACAAGTTAATCTTTTATGTTGTTTAGATTTACATAAAATGACTGATATTAAAACATCTTCAAACAATCAAACAAAATCCATGACTTCATTTTCAGATGTTTCTCAACAAAAAGTAGAATCATTACTTGGATTTAAACTTCATGAATTTTATAATAATCAAATACTAATCGAAGAATTTATTACAAGAACAACACCGGAAGAACTTAAGAAAAAAAATATTTGATCGATTGATCGATTGTATTTTATCAGAAGGATATTCAGAGGCAACAATTCTTCCAATAAATAAATCGGTTATAATAGGCAACGTCGGAGTTATTTTACAAGCCATTCCCTAGTGAAGGTACTCATAGGCGAGTACTCATAAAGTACTCACGCTAGAAAATATCACGAGTACTCATGAGTACTCACGTGCTTTGAGTACTCATCAGTAGTACTTCTGCTAGAATCTGAATATCTGAGTACGACGATCGAGTACTCGCTGTGTAATATTGAGTGTTTTGTAAGTGCTACTATCTAGTTTCTGTATGCTATGCTGGTCTATGTAAGATACTCATAAGCATATTTTTGGTTAGTACCATTGTACTATATTAATTTTTATTTAATATTAAAATACTACCGAAAAACAGAGGACATAATGAAAGGTTAAGAAAAATGATCAACATGAGGACAACAAGTTTGATATCAGTTTCATATATTTTAACGTAAAGATTATAGGCATAGAGTCTTTATTATGCGCGAAGAAATTTAAATATTTTCTGTATTTACATACCATAAAAATACAATTTTATTTATTCTTTTCATTTGTCTTTCGAAAAAATACATAAAAACCTACTTCCATTATATAAAAATAAAGAAAAAAATATTTAATTATCTTCTCTAACAATAAACGCTTCTTTGTCTATATCCTAGAGCATGAAAGTACAATAACACATAAATTAAGAACAGTAAAATACAATGAAGCAGAAAAATAATAAATTGATCAACGACGATGCGAAACGTGATAATAAATGAACGTACAGTATTTTTTATTGCACTAAAAAACTAAACAGACATTTTAAAATCTGTCGCTATATACAATTACCTGAAAATTTACAAAAAAATAAATACAAAATAAAATTATTTGTCTAGCATTTATTAACGCATCTTCTTATGTGAAAATCGTGATCGATTTGTAACACAATTTGCGAGTTACCTTTTGTTCCATGGTATTCTACAATCAATCTAAAAAAAATTGCATTTTAATGGAAGAATTTTTGCCTAAACTTAGGAAATAAAATAAAAATGAATTTACATTAATATATTTAGAACTTGATCTTTCAGAAGAATTGAATAAATGAAAATGAAAAATCGTTTTTCTTTTCTATCTTAAAGTCACCATTTATTTTAGCCGTATAAATGATTCATCCAAAAAAAATAGAGAATAAAATAAATAATTTATTTAATTGATTTTCTCTGTTTTTCATTTTATTACATCAGTTTTTTTTTATTATATAGCTCCAATTTATTTTTGTATATACTAATGCATAAGTGTTTTGCTAAATATTCTGCGAAAAAACTAGATTGAGTACAACTTTTAGTACTCACATGTCTGCCGATGAGTAAATTTTTAAAAATATACTCTTATGAATACTCATTAGAGTACACGAAGACTAAAAATACACATAAAATTCCTCGAGTACTCGCGTGAGTAATATGAGTACTCACGCTGGAAGGTCGTACTCGCTTGATGAGTATTTTCACTAGGATTGTTTCTTATTGTAAACTTACAATGAAACGTAATGATTTAATATTATTACGAAAAAATCAAATCATTAGTAAGAACGAATAATTTGGTGGAAACATGGAATTTGTCATAGTTGAAACAACCGATGTCGAAAACAGTCGTTATTTACTCGTCCTCGAACCGAAATCTGGTCCACTTGAAAAAGGACTTACTCAACTGTTATTGATATTAAAATCTATATGGGATATAAATAATGATAAAAAAATAGTGTATGGATTCTTAACAACAGGAATCAATTGGCAATTAATAACCTATGATGGGGAATCATGGAAATTATCAGAATCATCTATTGTTTTACTTGAAAATATGGAAAAACAAGAAGATCGATGGCTAAAAAATAATACACAAATATTGGATGTCATTTATAGTATTTTGTCATCAATATAAATTTTTTTTTTGTTGTTATTATTTGATTCAAAAATAGAAATGATGTTGTACAAAAAGTTATTTTTTTGGTTTTTTTGAAAAATCTTGTGTTAATTGTGTTGACTTTTCTTTAATATATTCATACAAGAGAATAGTTCAATAAAAGATGATTACATAAAAAAGTCTTTACTCATATAACAAATAAATGTAAAGCAAGATTATTTGTATTCATGTTTATTAACTTTTTATCTTTTGTATAATATTCTAATTTTCTAGGTATCGTGAATTGTTTATCTATATAAGAATTCAATGAGATCTAACAATTATATTTAATTATTCAAGATGAAATAATAAAATATTTCAAATGATAGGATTAAATAAATAAATAAATAAATAGTAATTGAAAGTGAATTTCTTTCGAAAAAATCATTTTTTTTTCTACAAAACTAAAGAAGAAAATTTTGTAAAATATTGTTTTCAATTATGTTTGTTTATGAGATTTTTCTATTAATAAAATTTTATTTCTACTAAAAAGCTTATATTAAAATGGGTTGTACATATGCATAGCACTACCACACAATAACACTATGATTTTATTAGTATGAGAGCACTTCTGTAGCCTATTTAAGTGAGAAAATTTTATAAAATCATCTACTTTATCCTATTTTATAGTGACATAAATTAAAATTCGAGTAGAGTAGATAGAGTTAGTGTATGACAATCTTTGCAATCACTCTGGTTCTATTTGATACAATACTTGAAGAAATTTCTCACTATAGCTTATTAGTCAATAACTTCTTGTTTATGTATAAGTATATTTTGTTTCAATGTAACATTTTTTATCCTATTATTGTTTTCGAAGAACTAGGATATGGATGTGGGTGTGGGTATGAGTATAGGTGTGGGTGTGGGTATGAGTGTGGGTGTGGGTGTGGATATTGATACAGGGTGTCCCATAAGTTGTGGCAGATTTTTTCTAAATCTAATTTTTGATGATAATGAATATAAATCAAACTCAAACTTACATATATCATACAACTTAACATGTACTTTTATTTCGTATATTTTATTTAAATTAGATAATTGGATATATATAAAAAATAAATCTAACATATATACATAGCATTTTTTACAGTTGTTTTTTTGCATATTTTTCATTTTGATTAATTTACATATATATGAAAAACGACATGAAGTTACAGATGAGTTTAACAATGTCCAGTTGTATAAGCTGATGGTGAATAACACCTAGTACATTATTCATAGTCTTCTTTATGTATATTGGATCCATCTTTTTCAATTACAGCCATCATTCTTCGAGGAATTGATTCCATCATTTTTTTACATGTTGTCGCATCAATGGAACGCCAAACTTTATTAATTGCAGCTTTTAATGTACGAATATTTTGGAACTCTATTCCACGCAATTTTTCTCTAATAATGGCCCATATATTTTCAATTGGCCATATGTCCGCCTTTTTGGATGTACAATCATTTGGATCAATTCGTTGATGAAAATATTTTGTTACTGTTCCCAGTACTTGTTTCGTTCTCTGTTTCCGGTCACAATCATCTTGAAAAATTAAATCCATTTGTGGTCTAATTTGTTTTACTGTTGGAGCTATTACTTGTTGAATAAACATTGAATATAATCTGGAATCTAATGTTCGACGTGTTTTGCCAATTTGTATACATTTCTTATCCAACCACTCATTGAAATAAAATGGTGCATTACGTGGATACAAACCATCATCACTAATACCGCCCCACAATATAACACCTGCAGAAAATTTTTGTACACCTGCATTACGATTATCACTATCAATTTCATCAGCAGTTGCAGCCCATATTCCATCATTTCTATTATTATTTGGTCTTATTAAACGTATACTACCACTGAAATCTGTATTTAATACTTTACGCCATTGAAACCTTTTGGCATTTCGATTTACTCCATATTTTTGGGGTAAAATACGACATGTTGTCACTCTATTTGCTTTATGAGTTGCCGTAAGTTTCTGTGATCTTTTAAGACGAAAAAATTTCCATTTTGATTCTTTACATAAACGCCATACGCTTGATTTTGATGTTTTAATATTTTTTCGTTTTAAAAAATCATTGCATTTTCTGGTAGATCGGTTTTTTTTATTGTAAATAAATTTTTGTACTTTCTGCTTGAATTGTGCTGTACGTGTTGTTCTCTTTCTACCAGATCTTGGTCTATCTTCTACTGTACCACGTTCAATAGTTTGTTTAATGATTTTCAGTATTAAATATCTTGGTTTTGATGGAGGATTTTCAGAATTTTGCAATTCACTAGCAATTCGGCGGTTTGGCCAACTAGGATATAAGTTATGTAAAGCCAAAATATTTGTACGAAGCTGATAATCGGCATTTTTTACCATTGTAAATATTGAAACTAATAGTAATTTTAAGTAAAATTAATTTATCAAAGTAAAAATGGTACATGTACAGAATGAGCACACACTCAATATACACGTTCAATAGTGGTGTGTTTATTAGTCAATAATTATTTTCTTCTGTTCTGTCTTTGTATATGTATATTGATCCTGTACTTTTTCTGCACTTGCACCGTAAAAATTACTACGTAATCACGCTTTGATTTCAAAAATCAAAAAAATATGCAAAAAAAAACAACTGTAAAAAATGCTATGTATGTATGTTAAGTTTATTTTTTTTATATATCCAATTATCTAATTTAAATAAAATATACGAAATAAAAGTACATGTTAAGTTGTATGATATATGTAAGTTTGAGTTTGATTTGTATTCATTATCATCAAAAATTAGATTCAGAAAAAATCTGCCACAACTTATGGGGCACCCTGTATATGGATGTGGGTGCGGGTGTATGAGTGTGGGTGTGGATATTGATATATGGATGTGGGTGTGGGTGTGGATATTGATATATGGAAGTGGGTGTGGGTGTGGATATTGATATATGGATGTGGGTGTGAGTGTGGATATTGATATATGGATGTGGGTGTGGGTGTAAGTGTACATGAGTTAAAAGAAGGACCACATCCACACCCACAAGCACACCTCACACCCAGACCCACCCCCACCCCCACACACTATCTAGTCGATTTTCGTAAAACAGCATTTAATCAATTTGAAATTCTTAAAGAATTATGTAAATTATCTTTTATTTTAATAAATGATGAAACTCAATCATTATGTCATAGTTCACTTATATCACATCAATTATTAAATAAAGATCTTTTTATTGGACAAGTCGAAACTGATATATTACTTTAGAACAGAACTTCTGGACGTTTTTTTCTTTTTTTACTATTTTAAGCAAATTTGAGGCTTTGTATCTCATGATTGGAAAGTGATGGCGAAGTGAAATTATTAATATATATATATATATATATAGATCTTTGTGACTTCTATCTATATTGAAAATTTTAGACCTTCATCACTTTCCAATCACGAGATACAAGACCTTTTATATGTCTAAAATACCAAAAAAAACAAAAAGAAAAAGGAAAACATGAAGAACTCATGTTCTAAGGTAATATTATCATATCGCACAATTATAATATCAGATGTTGTTCGTTTATTATTATTGTTTATGCTTTCAATTTATATTTATGGTTGGACATGAATTGTTAACTGCTGTTGAAACTGCATATTTTCTTATTATTGATTTTGATGTTTCAGGCCTAATGTCAATACTCACTTCAGAGTATCTTGTAACTTCAAGAAAAAAAACATCCGTTATCAATTATATAACTATCCATATGCTACGATCAGTGATTGGATACTCAGTAAAATACTTGGTGTTTTTTATACTTTTACTGAGTATTCAGGATTACTTGAATACATTCTAATAGTATCAGTAAATTTACTTGTATTGAAAGATGTTACTGAAGTACCAAAATTTGTACTCATTTACTGAAGTGCCAGTACTTTAAGTACAAAATGTACTTTAATCGGATAACTACATATGCTTACACATTACTACTTTACATTCTCAGAAATATCTACATAATATTCATAATATTTCAACCTACACACTATAAATTCATGTCTTTCAAAATTTCCTTGGTTTATAGTTTTTATGACATAGTTTACAATATCCATTTACTCGGCTTTTATCAGAAAACGAGAAATCAAAAAGTTTACTCCATTTTCACTAGCCATTGATTAATTAATTGAGATTTAAATGAAAATGGGTACTTGATTGAAAAATGATTTTAAAATTAATAAACAGTTTTATGTGTAATTTGATATTGAAAATCAATAGAACTCTTTGTGATCTATCATATACCAATCAATGCTTTGAGGATATTAGGCTTCCGGCTGCTCTATATTAACTATTGTTACATATGATTATGATGCGATTCAATCAATAATTTATGTTAATAATTACAACAGAGATTAAAATATCGTGAGAATGATTATTCATATACATTTTTCTAAAGATGTCGCTAAGTTGTAGACATTAAGTGTGTATCACACATCCTAACATCGACATCAATGTATTAAATGTACAGCTACGCTTCATTATGGCTCTAAGTACTCTAATGTACTTGAACACTTTTTACTTGAGTATAATCCTATATAGTACCGCTACTGACTGAAATGTGCTCAAGTAATAAGTATTTAAGTAAAGTACAAAGTACATTTTTTAATTATCCAGTATTTTACTTATAATTGCTGTACTTGTACTCGTCCAATGACTGGCTGCGATTATTTTTATTTTGGTATCCGAAGTCGATCTCTGTGATATGTTGATAGCAGGAAACTTGTATATTAATCAAATAAGTGAACGACTTATTTCCATTCCAATTCTGTAGAATCAAATCGTGATCAAGATTTAAAGATTTTTCGGAATTCGAATTAAAGCTTTTGGTTGTGGATGTTCTCTTCTTGCACACTTATACTCACACGTCTCTAGTTCTCATATATTATTCTATGTGCAAACTCTAAATTCGAAATAGCATATATTGCATTGACTCATTTCACAACGAAGTGACAATACTGTGACCAAAAATGAACAAGAAAACTAAAGTTAATAAAAGCTTATCAGGTTAAATAGAACATTTTTATATCTGGAAAGATGATCACAATTTAGCGAACATTGGCACCTTCTATCACCAGTAAGAATTATTGGTCTACACCGATATGCGATTCATTGAAGAGAAAAAATTTCTTTCTCTTGATCATTTCAGCTGTTTTTTGTTCAACACTCGAAGAAGAATAACAAATCACATCGATCAAGACGATTAAGAATATTGTTTTTTAAATTTGAAACGAACATTACAATATTGGTAATTGTTGTAAGTGATAAGAGGATTTTCAGAATGGCAGGTCAAACTTTTTTTGCTGTTTAGATTTACATTAAATGGCTGACACAGAAACACCTTCAAAGCGAAAAAAAATACAAAAAACTTCATTTTCAAATGTTTCTGAAGAAGAAGCAGAATCAATACTTGGATTTGAACTCGATATATTTTATGATTCCCAAATACTACTTAAACAATTTATTACAATAACAGCACCAGAATAATTGAAGAAAAAAATATTTGAACGATTAATCGATTGTATTGTATCAGAAGGATATCCAGAAGCAACAATTTCTCCAATGAATGAATCAATAGTGACAGACAACGCCGGACTTATTTTACAGGCGATGATTTCTTATTATAACCTTACGATGAATCGTAATGATTTATAATTATCACGACAGAAACAAATCATTAGTAAGAACGAGTAATTTGGTGGAAAGATGGAATTTGTCATCATTCAAAAGATCAATGTTGATACTGGGATTCCGGAACTTCGCCAATTTTGACTTTCGCCAATAATTGGCGAAATTCCACGGAATGTATTGGCGAAAGTTCAATGGATCTTCGCCAATTGGCGACTGTCCAACAGATATATTGGTGAATGTCTACTGAACTTTCACCAATTGGCGAATTTCCAAGAGATATACTGACGAATATCCAGTACGTATACTGGCGAAAGTCGAATAGATTTTTATTCGTTCAAGTGAGACATTCATATTCTCCATGATATATGGGAATCACACTTAGTATTTTATAAATGTACTGTGAATCATTCGGGTGTGGGTGTGTGTGGGGATGTGGGTGTGTGTGGGAATGTGGGTGTGTGTGGGGATGTGGGTGTG